TCTTCCTCTTCCTCTTCCTCTTCCTCTTCCTCTTCCTCTTCCTCTTCCTCTTCCTCTTCCTCTTCTTCTTCTTCTTCTTCTTTTGGTAGCAGTTGGGTTGTGAGTAAGGAGAGTTATATTCAGTTCAGTCCTGGAGTTTAATCTCTTCTTAATTTTTATCACAGGAAGGAATTTTGGGAGATGGAAAAACACAAAGGTTGCTGAAATTTTTGATTGTTGGAAACGTTATCAGATAAATATCCCTTTATCTTTTATGGCTTCTTTATGTCAAGGATCAGTTAAAAGTTCTGACCTCCCAAAAGCCTAAACACAGGTGAAATTTTAGTCCAGAGTATTGTAAACTGTTCCAACAGTAGCATAACAAAGAATGCAGATTATCGTTTTGTGTCATTCTATGCTATGAAAAGGTTCCTTCTGAAATAAAATGTAAACAAAGCAAAAATTTGAGAAACTGAAACTGAGAATCAGAGCATGCCCAGGGCAGACATTCAGAGTTCAGGAAACCAGATAAATTTATTATTCTAGTGTTTCTGATATCTTGAATTTAGATCAGAGGTCCCCAAACTCTTCAGTTCATCAACCCCTTCATGAAGTTTCAGATTGTTCATCAACCCACAAACATTTATTATACGAAAATAAATAAATACTACCTTAACTAACTTAACTACTAATAATAACACCAACTCCTTGGATAGTCCATTGACCCCTGGGGGTCAATATTGACTACTTTGTGGAACCCCAATGTAAATGTTGAAGGTGTTTTGTCCAGTCCAAATGTTGATAGGAATACCAGGCTGCAATAATTCTCAAGGGAATCGTGCTGATCCCTCCTGCTTCTGAAGAAGTTCCTCGGTGCCTAACTCCAGATAGGCCTTCCCTTCAACACCCTCTATCTGTGGGCAAGTAATGCCCCCAAAGCTCTAGTTGGAAGCCCTTTGAGAAACATGGTCTTGGTCTGCTCTGTGAGACTCCATTTAAAGTGACCTATGTGCATTCCATGATCCCATTATTTTGGAGAACCAGGGTTCTGCTTCTGCTCTATCGATAAACCAGGGGTGGCTCAAGGGAGCATATTTTTTAAAGTATTATTTTCAGTATCCAAGAGCCACAGGAGGCAACGCATGATGTAATGTACATCAGAGTGCTGAACAGCACACATGCTTTCTCCAGACCCACACACATTTATATCCAACCTATTGTAATTCAAATGTATTCAAAATGTATTTTTGGCAACCACTGGCCACCCACTTGCATACCCATGGCAAATAAAAACCAATCAGATGCATTGTATCTTCTCCTATCTGCTGCCATCAAAAATAAGGTATAAAACAATTTGCTTCTGTGCCATGCTTCAAAGGGGATAGCTAGTACATCTTCAAGAGGCATTAAAGGAAATTTGGCTCTACTCCCTACATCTACCCTGAGAGTGTCTCTGATGCTTGCTGTCTGTTGCATATCACATGACACACCCCTGTTTCTGTCATTTCTTGGAGCTGTGGCAGATTTATTCCCACATTGAAACTGACCTGATATTTAAAATAAAATAAATTATGATTAACCCAATGTGAAATAGTTAAATATAATAGTCAATGTATTGTGTGCCATTGTCCATCCCTAGAAAGCTGCCATTTTTTTGTTATTAGTTTGTAAAGCATTTTTCATCATGGCAGCTTTTAACTATGGAAAGAAGACTAAGACAAAAACATTGGACCAATTTGAGGGCAGAGAGAGGCAACTGCCTTGGGTGACTGGTGCTGATGGTATCTGTGAAGCCTACCCATAGCTTCATGTGGCTCCATGAACCACTCCCTAAGCTGGCACCTATTGGCACTATGGTCATGCAGATTCCTTTATTGCTGGTGTTGGAGTTAGACTCAACTGCCGTTCGCACCCATTTATGTATAGAAGTGGAGATAAGACCCCTGTCTTTTGCCATGGGCAGAAAAACATCTGGAGGTGGCTCTGGTAAACCCAAAAAGCAGATCTGACTCCAAACTGGTTTAGGAGTCAAGCACTAAAAGGTAAAGACACTCTAAAGCCAAGCTTGACTCGCTTGAGTGCATGAGTCTCACTATGTTGTTTTCTTGGCATCACCTGGTTCCACCAGCACCATCTTAGCAGCATCAGAGATGGGAGTTTGCATTGGAAGGCAAATATCTAATTTCTCAAATCTTTATATGAATCAAAACTAGCTTTCCTTCAAAATTCACAATGCAATTTACCCTCTGGTAATGTGCATGCGTGCACACACACACACACACTTGTATACCTTTGAATCATTGTTGACTCCTGGTGACTGCCTGGACTAGTCCCTGCACTTTTCTTGGCAAGATTTCCGAAGTGGCTTGCCATTGCCCACTTCCCAGGGCTGAGATAGAGTGCCTGGCTCAAGGTCACCTAGCTGGCTACATACATACATACATACATACACAAATATGAAAATATATATAGTCTTGAAAATAACTTACAACAGTGCCTCATAGTAAGAAAAAGAACTGTAAAAACTAGGTACAGTTTCCTAAAAAAAATTGTTTGTAACAGCAAAGAAAAGTACAGTATGCATGTTTGGGTAAATATACGTAAAACAATTAATCTCACTGTGAATTGCAACAAGCCAATTGTGACTGAACTGCAGAAATGAGAAACAGATTTATGGTGAAAATAAACAGCCACAGATTCCAAGTGAGTGCATTTGTTAAACAGTCAAATAAAGAAAACTTCAGAAAATGAGACTAACTGAAGTTTATTTCAAAGGAACCTGAAGAGGCCTATTAGAGGCTATGATCCTGCCACTGCTGCTTTTTTTTTTTAATTTTCTTTAATGCGCAAGAAAAAAGCCCTACGCTGAGTGCAGCGGGGATTGGGGGGAGGCAGGGGCAAGAAAGGGCTTAGTCCTCCCCAGGCCTGTCTTTCAAAAATAATAATAAAAGCACTTCCTCTAACGACAAGGAGTTTAAAATGAAAGCAGGGGCATCTGCAAAGGGGTCAGAAAGGTCAAGTTGGCAGTTGCAACTGCATTTAAGCCCTGCTCCTTTTTATGTGGATTGCCTATGTACTTCATGACTGATGGCTTAACTTTTTTGACGACACCCTGAAGACACCCCTGCTCACCAGTTGGTTCCTTAAGGTTCCTTCTAAAATGAGAGGGAAGGATAAAGGGAAACGTCAGCCTTGGAGGTACAGTCAGGTGCATTTGGAGACCTTAAGTTGCTATATCAAACTGAATGCTTTATATTACTCATCCCAGTAACAAACTAGGAATATTAACACTTGTAGCAATTGTATTACTTTTCTGTTCTTGCCCCAGTTGTTAGACTTACTGCAGCAAAAAGAGTTAATGGGAAAATGTGGAAGATCTTGAGGCTGTGTAGCTCCCCATAAGACGAGGCGACTGACTAAATCTCAGAGGACCCCAGGAGGTGCCTTTTGTCAAATAAAAAACAGTAAAAACAATCACCTGGCCTACCAGCCTGGGACATTAGGTGGATCACCAGAGTAAGATTAATGGGAATGCTGGAAGAAATACTTGTTTTTTGATGTCCTAAATCTGTTCTAATCTCTACAGGTTGTTTTTCGCCTGGATTTCGAGTTCAGCAAGTCTATTTTTCTCCAAAACTTGGAGATATTTTTGAATGCCAGCAGGTTGGTGATGGCTTTTTTGTTAGTTCTTCTATTCACCCAGTCCTTCATTTGGGTAAATAAGTCATTTGTTTTTCATCTCTCACCTTCCCCTGTTCCCCCCCAAATTAGTTTTCTCCCTCTGTGTTCATTTTTGTAACCCTTCCTGGCTTCCCCCTTCTGTTGCAATGCTGCTGTTGACCATCCTCCTTAAGTCATTTCTTTCTTTGTGCTATGAACACACTGTTTGGAAACATGGGTGTCGAAAGTTTGAGAGGGCATGTCCCCTTCTCTCTGGAATTCTGATCTGGGCTGGGCATCATCAGACCCCTGCAAGCACCAATTCAGCTAATACATCCGAGATCCCCAAAGCTGCATCTCATGGGCTGGTTAAAAAGAAGGAACTACAAAGCAATTAGAAAACTGTGGAGATTAGTGCTAAAAGTCTCACTTCTGAGGGAGGGACTTCTACTGTGGCAGAACCGGAAGAGAACAGATCTCAGACTTCTCAGCAGTCTAGGTAGATTATTAAAGGTTGTTGTTTTTTAAAAGGAACCAATTTTGTTCTAGTAAAAGTCAACTTCAATTTGATGTTTTAAGGTAGGAAAAGCCCAATTACTGAATTAATTTAATTTCTGGACTAAATCTAATTAACTTAATGGGATTAACTTAATTTCTAGACATTATAAATAGTAAGTTTTCGGTTTCAAAATTTCCCCCTCTTATAATACAAGAAGCACTCAGTAAGTTCATATCAGTTTTGACAACATTATAATATATAGAACAGACTGTATAGTGGGTAACTGTAGCCCTCAGAGGCTGGCTGTGTGGCTCACTAGGTAATCTCTTAACATTAGGAATTTTTCCTGATGTCCATTCAAAATCTACTTTCTCAATATAAACCCCTTGTTTCTTGTCCTCTCTTCTGGAACATCTCTGAACAATTCCACCCCATCTTCCAAATAATAGCCCTTCAGATGCTCAAAGACAACCATCATTTCCCACAGTCTCATCTTCTCTAGGCTGAACATACTCAGTGGCTCCAATCATTCCTCATATGTTTTCCTTCCAGGCCCCTTTTCATCTCATCTGCTCTCCTCTGGATATGCTCCAGTTTGTCCATCTTCTTCTTAAAATATGGTGCTCAGAAGTGGACACGATATTCTAGATGTGGTCTAACCAACACATTAGAGGAACAATTACTTCTCTTGAGCATGACACTATTCCTCTGTTAATGCAGTATGGGGGCTGCAAAAATATTCTGTATTATGTTCAGCTTGTGACCTCCAAGACAACCAGATCCTTTTCACATGTACTGCTGCCTAGTACGGCCTCCCAACTTACACTTGTGGCTTTGATCTTGCTTACCTCAATGAAGAACTATGCATTTGTCTTTGTTGAAATTCATCTTGCTGTTTTCTGCCCATTGTTCCCGCTTGTTAAAATCCTCCTGAATCTTGATCCTGTCCTCCTGCACTTCCCACCCATCACTGATTCCTCAACCAATTTGAAAATCAGTGATGGGAATTCCTGCTTTGCCCCTGTTTCTAGGCACAAGCAAACCCTAACCTTTCTTCCCTGTCCTCAGGGGCTCCACATACCATTCCTGGAGATTGATGTATTAATTCATCTCCCTGTTCTCCCATTCCAGCCACCTGCAGCCATAGCTGGAGGTTCAGCATGCCTACCAATATGTTGTTGTCCCACCTTCAAAGGCTGCTAAGTGCTACAAAGGAATGAGGTCAAGGTGTCTTGGGTATCTTCTTTTTTCTTTTTGCAAAATAATGAAATGGGATAAAGGACATTTTTGCTACCCAAGGATTACCTATGATGTTTTTTGCACTCCTATTAGTCAGCCTGCAGAGCCTCAATTGGCTCACGGTGATCCTCAGCAGGAAAGGAGATTGAACAGCAAATTTAAAACAATGGAGATGACTGGGGAGTAGAAAGTGTCTTGAGAAAGCGATCTCCTGCTTATTCTGTTCTTACTTGTAATTCTTTAAGTCTGGTGTGCTAGCAAAGGGAGGGGGCATAGGATTCCCGGAAAGGGGTGGAATAGACTTAAAATCATGGCTTTCTCAAAATTCAACATCCTCATCCATGCTGATCCTGCTATGATCCAATTGTGGGCATAGCGTCTAGTAGACTGGAATCCTTTGTCCACATTGAATGTGGAAACTGAATACATGAAATACAAAGGAAATTTTGTGTATTCATTTGTATTTCATTATTATGACAATAAAATATCTTTTAAAAAAAACTGCATGCATGGATTACTATGTCAGTTGCTTGGAAGTTAAAATTTGTCCCTGGGAATGGAGACTTTGTCTAGTCACACTATAGAGCATTGACATCGTACTGACTCCCATGCAGCTCTCTCGGGGCTGATTTTGCCTTTAGAAATGTTTTCACATTAGATGGATTTTCTGGCAATAAATTCTATCTCAGACCTAAATGCATTGCTTGGAACAGCACTATGATGAAATAAAGAGTTTTGATTTCCTAAAAAGTTCATTCATTTTACAAGCTCAGACCAGAGCAGGGTTAGCCTTGCCATTTGGCTAAAGGAAACTATAGTATACTCTCCCTGAAAGTGAGAGACAGCAGACAAACATTGGAAATAATAGTCAATGCCATAGTGAGACTTTCTGGCTGTTTGCAGCCAACTCACTCCCAGACCCAAACTCATCCAGGAGTCTCTGGGAAAATACTTAACCAATGATATTAATAATCACTTGTTATAATTTGACAGCAGCCATAATAATATATGCAAAATTTTGCTACCAGTGAAACAAACCATGGGACTAAGGACTGGACTTGATGACCCCTGAGGTTCTTTCTAACTCTACCTATCAAGCAACAAGGACTCACAACTCAGAGCAATTTTTCCCACTTGGAGAGCAGTTGTCCTTTACTTTTATTCTACTTTTCAGGGAAAAAAAACACACAAAGAAAGGGGAACATAAGGCTGAAGATGGAGTTTTGCCCATCACAGCTAAAAAAAAGTGAATATTTGTATCCAGTTTGGGCTGATCCCCTTCTTTTTCCAATTTTTCTCAGATTCTAGACATAATATCTTTTTGACACAGCATACTTGGGCCGGTCACTCACTCTCATCCCACAACATCAGGCTTGGGCGACAAGCCAGTTGATAAATTTCTGCCACAAACAATGGTCAACATTAGGTTGATCCAAAAAAGCAGACCCTGTGCCTGCAGGAAAATGCTAGGAATAAAAAATAACCCCTGAAGCTGGAAGAAGGCAATGGCAAGGCACTTCCATACTGTTACCAAAAAAGCATGTGTTAGTGATGTCCCCAGAAGCTGCAGATTAGTTTTTAAACTTAATGCAGTCTTAATCCCACTTTCACATGAGCATGCTTTTACTTCTAATTTTGTATCTCTTTCCTAACAAGAAGAAAAGTTGGTATGTTTATGTTGCAGCTCCCTAACTGCATTTGCTGAAAGAATAGCAAGTCAAGCAAATTGCAGAGGTGGAAGAGATTCCAGGGTAGTATCAAATCCATAATTCCAGCCAGTGGTGGGGAAAAAAAACACATTTTTCTCCTTGCTTCAGCTAAGAATGTTGACTCTTGTGAAGCAAAGATCAGCTTTGACATGTCTGTAATGTGCCCTATTAAGCCAGGACAGTGCTGGCAAGGGAATGCTCTGTCTCCTGCCAAAATCACCAAGACTACAATTGAGAGAAATTGCTACCCTTGGGAGGGAGACCACAGCCAATATAGGCATTAATTGCACAAAGGAAAAACTGAGCAGGGTGAGTTGGTGGGTGTCTGTCTGTTTATGAGTCTAACAGCTCATAGTAAAAGTCAGTGAGGCCCTGTAAGGAGCCAAGGCCTTCCCTAGGAGATGTAGCTATGGCCACTCAACATTGTGCCTTTGTTATGTGGTGGCTCCTAAATGGATCTCTGGTTCCATTTCCACATTCTAGTGACAGTGAAGAACAAGAAAGTACAAAAGAGGACAATTCTGCTCTCCTCAAGTTGCAGCTGAAATATGAAACTGATCTCCTTTTCACCAGGTACTTTGGATGTATACAGATGATTTTTGCACTGCTGTGATTTGTCATTCTGAAAATGTTGGGGTGTGTGTGTATGAGAATGTTCAAACATTCTTCTGAGCAGTTGGATCAATTTTTATTTTGATTGGATTCTCCTTTTTTGCTATTGTCCAGGAGTTCCAGCCAAAACTATTATGAGATTGAATCCAACAGTTCTCTGCAGACATACGATAGAATCGGCCCACCTTTTAATTGCACCTTTAAGGTAAACTCACCTTTTGGTTCTAAGCAACATATTGGGAAGGGAAGATGGCTTCTTGCAGTACAGAGTTCATATGCTACTTAATTTCCTTCAGCTACAGAATCTGGGCCTCTTTCCTGTTGATGGGATAGTTATCAAAATCACAGTCCCAGTGGCCACACGAGGAGGGAATCGTCTTCTGCAGCTAACAGGCTTCCGTGGACCAGAGGTATCCAGAGCTCCTACTTATTATTTTAGTACAGTATTAGAGAACCTCAAGGTATGAGCTATGAATGATGAATCAGGATGCCTCAAGAGAAAGTACATCCACCCAACTATGAATAAAGATGATGATGGGGGATGGCATTTTTCTTCTCAGATGGGAACATGTCATTGACTTGTCTCCTTAGTAATAGACTGTCCTCCTGCTGAGATTTTCCCAGCTACCTACAAGCAGGTCAGTTAAAGACCAAGCAGCCATTTTCATACAACATGCCAGATGTGGTTAGTTTTGAATTTTTTTTTTTGTTTCTTTGTGTAGTTAGTTATGTTCGTTCATTTCTTTAGCTGCAGCTCATGTTATAAAAAGAGATTTCTTCAGGAACAGGGAAAACAGGCAGGGGTTGCAAAGTTTTCCCTTCTCCTTTAAAATGGGGCCTCCTCAAAAAGCTCATAAATTCATGGAGATTGAGAGGCTAGACTCCAAACTCAAAAGAGCAAGACTCTTATAATTTAATCAAATTATGACCTGCACTTAAAAGGGAAGGAAGAAGATTGAACTGGGGGAAAGGCAATGGTCACATAGTAAAGGAGAGTCCACCACATCTTGAGGCAGCCTTTTCCGTTGTTGAGCAGGTCTTATCAATTCGGAAATTTTTAATGGACGTTAATTCAAAATCTTCCTTGTAATTTAAAGCCATTTTTTTCTTGTCTTCTGGAACAATTTGGAACAGTTTTGCCCCAAATTGATGGGAGCTGCTTTGAAAGTCAATAGCGGTCTGAAAATTGGGAAGAAAGTGCAATAAATAAATGAAAACAAAGAAAGCATGCAATGTGGAGATTATGATCCCAGCAAATGTTAGACAAGGTCCAAACAGGCACTAGATGGCAGCAAAGAAATACTATAGAAAACTTTCTAATGACTCATCTCTTCATGTGTTGGATTTTCTTGATTTTCTCCTCCCAATTGCTGTTTGGAACTCAAAAAGGTCCCAGCATTCTAATCCTTTCTGCAGGCTGGGCAGATGGAGAACATTAGGATTCATAAGAGGTCCAAGAGCTTTCATGGCCAAAGTAGCATTTAACAGTGGATTGTAAGGCCATGCAATCAATTTTTCTTGAGTGATTATTGATGGAATTTGTGTCTCCATAAAGTCATAGAGTTAGTTTTGCATGTCACCTTGAGGTCTAGACCTCAAAATAAACCAAAGCATCCAATTTCCTGATTAATGATTCCAGACTCTCTCTCTATTATAGGACGGTATGATGTGCACCATTGGAGGCAATAACACAGACTATCGACGGACACCCTCAGATGAGGATTTAGGCCAACATCCCCAGCTGGTATGCTCTTTCTGCATCATAGCTGGTAAAGAATTAAGGTTCTTTTGTCAATTCCTGAGCACAATTGTGCTGTTTCAGACCACGCAATGCAGTTGTTGCAGCCTTAAATACTGATAACCAATTCCACACCTTCATGAGTTACTTGTTTCAGAGACCTGCAGAAGGGTGGATGTGCGTCTGCACTGCTTTCCCTTTTCTATAGAGTGGAGATTGACATTTCTATCTTCCAATCACAGGAAGTGGTCATTGGTGGCTGTCCAATTCCCGTGCTTCAGGGAGAGATCCTGAGTTCTGTCTTGCCCTTTGCTGCATGCATTTCCCTATTCTTTGACTACAGTTCCTCAAATGAGCAATCCAGCTTTGAAGGCTTTGCCTGTGGTGTTGATAAAAAGGCTTTGTGGATAGTTCCCCCCTTCCCAGTTCAAAATTAGCTTCAGTGGTGTTTGCTATAAAACAAAACCCTTTCATCAGTCCTTCTCTGGTTGGAAAGTTTCTTAACAAGGAGCATAATATTTGTACTTTTAAAAAATGCTACTCTCCCTCCAAACCCTCAAGGATGAGCAAATCTTCTCATCCAACTCTGTAGCAACTTCTAACATGTAAATTTCTGCATATATCTGCTGGAATCTGGCAGGTTTAATCCAAGAGAAGGAGCAAATATCATTTGATTCTAACAAGAGAAGAAATTATAGAATCTAATACACACACACACACACACACACACACACCCCTATACATATGAGGGAGAGACAACATGGTGTAGTGGTGAAGATGCTGGACTAAGAATACAGAGACCCAGGTTCAAGTCTCCCCTCAGCCATGGTTCATCTTCCTATCCCAATTCTTCCTGGGGGACTTTGGATCAGTCACTGTCAGGTTCAGCCCAAGAACAGCCACGAGGCAATTCAGTTCCTTTACTAGCTTGCACCTAATGGACAGAATCTCGCTAGACTAAACCTATCCTAAAGCAACTAATGGATATACCCCATGAGACTCTAGGGAGGGGCCAGCTCATCCTCTTTCTCTTCCGACACTCTTGCTGTGGGCTGAGGAGGCTTGCCCTGGAATGTCTCTCCCCCCTCCTGACAACCTTGAACTTCCATTCCAGGATCTTCCCCACTCATGCCGTCCATTACAGTCACTTTCTCTCCAGTGTGGTAGATTAGGGTCCACAATCATCACTGAAGAGGCCATCCCTGCGGTGGATTGATTCGGGCTGATCATTATACATACATATTATATGCATATATAATGCGTGTATTGATCAAACTGGAGAGCCCGTTTGGTGTCGTGGTGAAGGCATCAGGCTAGAAACTGGGAGACGATGAGTTCTAGTTCCACCTAGGCACAAAGCCCGCTGGGTGACCTCGGGCCAGTCACTTTCTCTCAGCCCTTGGAAGGAGGCAATGGCAAACCACTTCTGAAAAACCTTTGTTTTTATTTTGATTACAAAAGAAAAAAATACTTAAAAGTGGTTTAACAAAAAAGTTTTAAAAAATACACCAGAGACAAAAGTGTTAATATATAATTATAACAATAAACAATTTCAATTCTATATGTGCTTATCTAATACAAATATTAGTATTTGTATAAGATAAGATGAATCAAATACATATATATGACTTTTTTTTTTTTAACCTACTGTATTTTGTGTAAATTGTAAGGATCGCTGCCTTCGGCACTGAACAAAAACCTCGTGAGACACAACCTTGGACGAAAGTTCGTTTACTCAGGCGTAGCGCGTAACGGTTATAGACAAAGCCAGAATTGGCTTGGCGCGGTTTCTTAGTCTTTTTATAGGGTTCCCCCCTTGACCCGCAGTACCCCTCGGTTCCGCCCCTTGCCCTTGCCCTGGGCTGCCCATCTGTTCCTGGCGATCTTCCTTCTGCTCGCCTTGAGGGCAGATTCAGCCGGTTTCTATTGTGTTCTGATCTGCTTCTTTTGTCTCTCCTGCCCTTGCGTTCCTGGGGCTTTTCTTGTGGTGGTTGTGTTAATCTGGGTTTGAATTGCCCGCTGATTGCTGTGCTTCCGGCGTGTCATGAGCCAGAGTTAGTTTCCTGGGGCGCCGCTGCGCTGCAGTGTTGCCGCTTCTTAATTGCCCGCCCTCTGCCAGTCGTTAACTTGTGGTCGCATTGTTTACTTGCCCTGATTACCTTTTGCCTGAGGCGGTGAAACTGATTAACGGCACTGCGCTGCTGCGCTAGGCTGAATCTGACATAAATGAGTCCCATATTCCATTATACTTGTCCATACAAAGTCTACGTCTATAGGCAATCCGCTCATAAGTGGCAAGTGCAATCAGGTCTTCAGTCCACTGAGTGAATGGGGCCAGACATTTATCTTTCCAGTGTTGCAATATCAGTCTTTCGGCCATAGTAAGGGCACAGAGAATCCATTTACGTTGTCCAGATGTCAAATTCCATGTACTGGGTGTAGAGTTCAAAAGAATATTATCCTCTGAAAATTTTAGCTTTTGTCACACAATCATAGTTTTATAATCCACTACTTTCTCCCAAAACTTATTAAGTATAAGACATTGTAAAAACATATAGTTTAAAGAGGCATTGTACTTATTACATCTCCAACAAAATGCTGTTTTTGACAATCCTTTTCTATACAGATGTAGTGGAGTCCAATAAATTGTAAATATTATTTGTATGTGTATACACTTGGTATACCCATAGCTAAATATTTAATAGATTCAGTACGAATACAGAATTTATATTCCTTAAATGAATGGGTAACCAAATGTTCACCTATTGGCATCAATTCCGATTTGGACCAGTTAATAGAGTATCCTGCTG